TGCTGATACTAACTTTACTGCATCTGACAGTTTAAATTAAACACAATGTGAGTAACATTTCTTTTCCACCCTCTAGGTTTACACTGCTTCCATTCACCAGGTAATTGCTGGCTCTACTGTGGTCATAGGCATGATTTGTCAACTTCCAGAGTAGACTGAACCAAAAATGCTGTGTTTTCAAGTTTGAAGCTTTTTTTTTTTTTTATAAATTGTACTGTAGTCCACAAAAGAATAAACCTAAAATCCTATAAGCTTCTTCAATCTTCAGAACTCAAAGATCTGAAATGGTCTTATGTCCTTACGTCATTTCTCTATTGAGGAGTGAATGATGTCTGCAGTAGCTAGAACAGAGTATGTAGAGTACTGAATGTTATTTGGAATGCATGCTTTACCTCATTTTCCATTTGCTGTGGTATCTGAAGTATGAAACACTACTAAGTGTTGATGACAGCATGCCAGAGGGTGGGTGTCAGTTTCTGGGTTCCAAGTCATGCTTTATAACTCACTTTTTCTAAGTTCTTGATGTCACTTCTTTCATGTAAGGTCTTTCATATGAGACATGAGTAATAATGCTACAAGAATAATTAAAGTATGCCCAAACTGGAAAGGTTGAATTTCAAACTGTTGGGGCTCCAATGTTTGCTTCCAATAAAATAACAAAATGAGAAGGCTCAGTTATTAGACTCATGAAATCGGAATTATTTAACATTTTCTCTCATCCCTGACTGCTATGAAGCACTGTGGTTCAGTGACCAGAAAACAATTTTTAAGGTCATCTTTGAAACAGATTAATGTAGGCTTTAGTGGCACATAAAAGCGTCCTCCCTACTATTTTATTTTCTATTTTAGTTTGTTAACAGTTAAAATTAAATTTCTGAGGTAGGAGAACTTGCACAAAATGGCAAATGGAGAAGAAAATGTTCTTTTATCATACTTTACATCCAGATCACACTTCTCTTCATGTCATCTGAAGATGCAGCTGTTCTTTCAGATAGTTGATTCATGCCACCCACAATTAAAATGTCCTTTCTATTTAAAAAATGCTTCTCAGCATGTCTAAAAAGGTTGTCTAAACAATGGCTTGTTCACAGCGAGAGAAAAGCTCTTAATGCTTTAGAGAAGACTGATGCAATGACTTGATTAGCAAAATCTGTCTGATTTCCAAGTCATGTATTGTCTTGAGTCTTGGCAGTTAGTTAAAAACCACATCTCCCTGCTTTGAAGACAGGGATGGTAAGTTACACTGCAGTTGGGATTTCTGGACTATACAACATTTACAAGTACATTCATAGCGATCTCATTAAACACTACTGTTTCTGTCCAACACTTTCTTACACCAAATTACTTCTTTTGTTATAGGTACTCAGGGATAAGCAGTCCAAAGTTTCTGGTTTTGAACTTTGGTTATCCATAAAACGGGAAGTTGTACTGCTGAGTCCTTTTGAGGAAAGCATTGTCACAAGACTTGTTTTAGTAGTGGTTGGGCACTTGGAAAATAATGAAAAATACTTTTGTTCTTTAAAGTTGATGAAAAGACTGAGTTGTTACAACTCTAATGACAGCATCTCATTTTAACCTGGCTACATTCTGGAATTTACTGTCCTAGGTCAAGGTGTCATGCTGTTCAGACTGGATGATAATTATTGCTTGTGGAGGGAGGGTTATTTCAGTCCCTGTTCAGTGAAATATGGAAACATGCACTGGAGCAGGAGCCTTGATCAGTAGGTCTGTGATGTGTGATTCCAGGCTTTGGCTCACAGAGACCATTATTCCCTTCTGGACTGCCAGAGCTTCAATTGAAGGGTTTTGTATGTCATAGTGTGAAAGTTGGTTCAGTTGGTAGATAAGAGATGTCTGCTGTCTGGGTTGTTTTGCAGCAGTTTAGTAGCTAAAGCAATGCCCAGCCATAGCTTCTGAACTATTTTAAAGCACTGTTTACAATGAAGTGTTGCGAATTTCAAGTAGGGGGCTACCTTTTTGCAGTACAGAAGCAAGACATCTGAATGGCACTGTTAGTTGGGTTTAGGGTAAAGGTGTTTATTATCTTTTTTTTCTGTGATTTGGTCAGTGTGAGGACACCTGCCAATTCTTCCCATATGTTCTTAATTACTTTATGTGTTAAGTGAGTAATAGAACCCTCAGAGCTTGTGGGGTTTATTGCACTTTCAAGATGCTTAAGAATTGAGTACCACTGTTCCAAACATTGTGTCTGGATCCTTTTGAAACCCCGGAGTACCTAATTTCAGTGAACTTGATCTGGTGCACCTGTGGTGCTTAAGCCTAAACATTTTTCTACTTTGAAAGGGCAAAGCCTTTCATCCCTTTACCATTATCAGTTCTGTGCACAGATATGCTCAGTGCGATTGTCATCATATTCCTTAGAGATGGCTGCAAGCGTGCATGGCAAAGGGCTTATGACATTGATGTGAGTTTTACATGAGGGCTGCTAGCAGCTGAATGCTCTTGTTATACTTCGAATCCCGATGACTCCACTACTATCATGTTGCATAGGGAAGGAAGTTTATTCCTACAAAAACTATTAAATAATGACTGTTCATCTTGTCTCTTTCCTTATCTACTGCTTGTTAATAAAAGCATCACTTTCATGTAGCTTGAATGTTTTTTTTGAGGGAGGCACCATGGTGGTAAAATGCCTGCCACACTGAAACCAATAAGAATTGACTTAGTAATAAATATGCTGGGCTAAATGTGAAATCCTATTTGTTACTTTGGGAAAAATATTCATCTCATTTAGGAAGACCTATTTGTGTGCCAATCTCCATGCCCCTTTTCCACAGCTATTTTCACCCTCATTCAAAACCAAGATGCCTATTGTCTCATTATACTAAATGTTTAAATTGATCACTTTCCTATCTTGTGATGTGCAATAGCAACAAAAAAATCCCCCTTCCTGGGAGCTATATTTGAGGCATACTGCAGGTTGCTGAAGGAAAAATGAATTTGCACTATAGAGGAGTAAATGTGGTGTAGTCATGAAAACAATGGAGATGTTTCATCTCTTTCTATAAAATGTAAAGCAGCCTGGATTCTATCAGGCTTGTCTCCCTGTGTCCTGGGGTGGCAATTTCCTGGACTCCTGTGCTTCATGTCTGTCATGAGATTAAGGAAGCAGTGAAGAATCACAGTACAATCAAAATCAGCATCTAGCAGGACAAATAGCAATCTATTCAGAGCTCATCACTGTACAATTTAGGATTCATTGCATTTTGCTACTATATTTAATTCAATGAGGGTAGCAGCTGCTCTGCTATTTCTTATAGAAGTCACAGTATTATAACACCACACGGAGGGGCTTTGTTTATTTTTATCAGTACAGAAGACTGTGTATTCAGCAAGTAGTATTTCGGGAAAAAAAATGCCGATGTTAAGAGACTCTTCAATTATTCCCCCAGCTCCATATGACTTCCACCCTTATCTCTCCACTAGTCTTCATTATTCAAAAACTCATTTTACCATTAAATTATAAGAAAATATTTTCCACAGATAATGGAAATAAACAAGTCAGGGACAAGTCAATAAACCATTATGAGGATCATAAACACAATTTTACAAAAATGGCATATGGCCTGCTCAGAGCTGCAGTTGTATTGCTTTGGTCTACAAGAAGATTAATGATTTAGCAGTTCTTATTTTTTGGTTTCACAGAACAGTAACTTTTGAGTTGATTACTACTATTTTTTTCCTTAAGCCCTATGAAAGGAGGGTTTGGGCTGGTCAGGTGAAGTCTAATATGACTAGTGTTTGTTAATTCTCAATAACTAGCAGAGACTGGTTCTTTCTGGTAATGGTTTAAAGGGCTTAATCAGAAGTTCTGTTCCAAATTTAGAGTAGGGAGACTCTTGCTCTCCATCAACAGAGTTTGGAAGCCTTAAGTTTCAGGGATTCATGCAAATTGTTGCTTGGGGTACTAACTTTGACATCAAGCACAGAAGAGTATTGGTTCAATTGTGAGAATGACAGTAATACTGTGAATGGGGGCAAAAATTGACTTTTAAGGCTCTGATAATGTTGGAAGTTGGCTGGGGTGTGTGTGGGGACTGAATTTGGATCAAACGGGAACTTTCCTCAAAAGTTTGAGCTAATTAGACTGGAAGACAAACTACAGTGTGAAGATGAGCATGATGTTTAATTTAGCATGAGGTTTGAGGACTGTTTTGGTGCCAGATATTGCTTAGTGTGTATTTTATATATAACGTTATATGTAAGAATTATATTTATATTTTAAGAACTTAAGATTAGGGAAATATGATGCTTTCAACATGCTAGAATGTTCTTTTTAAAGTCTTTTTGTAGGTTGAAGACTCAAAGTAGTTGACAAGTTTGCAGGACACTTTATAGGCCATTAAAGATGCATGTTTTGCTGAAAGTTTGGGTAAATTTTTACATTGTCTAACTTGTTATTAGGTCTGTTAGTTCATAATCTTCAATGTGTAGTGTCATGAAAGTGTAGATATATTTCTATACTGTAAAGGGAAGGTGTATTCTACTGACATCAACTTACTTTGTGTACATTGCAATAAAATGTATCAAATGAGCCAATTCTATTCAGCATGTATGGTTTATAGGACATGGTTAAGGAGTGGCTACTTCAAGAAGAATTATGTCTACAGGTTTAAAATAACAAAAATAGAAAGCTTGAAAGGCTGGCTACTGTCTCGGAAAAATGCACTCTGAAATGAGCAGAAATTGCCAAGATAGGGCTATGTCATAGTCTATTTGAGTGCCTTGAGAGTTTCAGCCTGACCCACCCCCACCCTGTGGTGTTGCAGGTGTGGTTCCTGCTTGGAGAGGTTATAATGAATTAGTGGGCTCACTTATGAGTAGGTTTTTATCTCGAAAGGAGCACCTGTGGGGACAGGTGTCTGAGCTTTGGTTTGTGTGGTTCAGAGAACCCGATGTGCAGGCATGTGGTGGGCAGGTGGTTTGAGCCTGGGTGTCTTTGCTTTCCTCTGATTTTTTTTTGTGTTCTTTTGTTGAAGTCACCACAGAATGAGGGAAATTGTTGAACCATCATGGTGTTGAAGATGCAGCTTTGTATGAGGCCTAATATCGACTATACTGACTGGAGCAAGCCCAAGCTGGAGGGGTAGGTTTGTTAACATGTTTTTCTGTCCTGGTCTGTCTGGTCCTTGCCTTTAGGGACCTGTCTGACTCATACTGTTTCTTCTCATGTGTATGCTCACATTTCTTTTCCTGTGAAATGGTGATTGTAGGAGCAGTGTGAAGTGGGGTTTCATTGAGAAGTACTCCAAGGTTGTACACTAGGCTGTGGTCAGAAGGAAAGGAATGGTGGGCCTACAGATTCCCATAGGTGTGAAAATCTGTTACTCGATATGTAGCAAATCTTTTCTGGATTCAGAGTTAGTGGGACTATTTTGTATATAATATTTGAATAAAGGCATGGGTAAAATATGCTGTTTTTATCATTCAAGTATTGCTTCAGTATTAAATGACAGAAAACCTAACTAGAGCATAATAGGGGTTAAACATTTTTTAACATGATAAAAAGTTGTGTTGGATGTTTCTACTTGCTTCTCCTCTGTTGAGCAAGTCACTGTTCTGATTACTTGTTTAACTGTAGCTTTTTAAGTCTAAAATGGACTATATAACACAGACTATCTGACCCCTGAAGTAGTTTCAATTTCCTCTTGAAAATAAATTTCTCCTGTTCTATTCCATTGTCTTAACCATAATAGCACTTGTTCTCAGATCATAGTTCTTGTAGCTAGTCACATGGTCAAGTGAGTCTCTTCTGTCCTTGAAATTAAAATGTCAGCATACTCCAAGCTCTCTTCCACTTGTATTACAAATGGTAGTTTGTTTCTTGAATCTGTCCTTTCTGTTTAGAAATATTTTTTAATGTGGTTTTATATCGTGGGATTGCACCTCCTTGAAAATTTTTATCAGAGTTGAGGAATATCCTGAAATTTCTCCAGGCATGTAGCTTACAGAATTGTACATAACTAGGGTCCAGCAACCATGTGTTTGGTAATAGGAAAAAAACTAACAAGTTTTGAATTAGTATAATTCTATTCGCATGTATAATACATGCAGTTCTATTCACATAATTCATATTATGATTGTACTTGCTTGATGAGAATGGGACTTCTTGTAAGGATTTTGCAAGTTTTATGGGCTTCTTGTGAATATTGGAACTCGCCAAAAGTAAATGTATCAAACTTATTTGAAGTAACTTAAATATCATAAACATGGCTTTCCCTTAAATATTTTTGAAGTCATGCGGGAATCTTTGTGTTATTCCTTGTAAATCTTAGTCTTAAGAGAATTGAATCATTAAACAGTGAGCTTCACACTGCACTGCAGAAGTTAATGGGAGGTTTGTAGTTTATAGCAATGGGTTTGCAGGATCAGTAGTCACTCAAGTACTTTTAAATAAGGTCCTAATTACAAATAGAAACATATTGACTACATTTAGAAATGTTCATCTATGCTTGAGTAGAGCATTGGTGCTTATTCATTTTGTTTGATAACCATCCTCCCACCCTGTTGTTGTCTTACATTAGTGCAATAACAGCATTGCAGAGAAGGCTGGCATGTCAGGCCAGTGAAGTATGTTAGGGAGTCTCTATCTTTAATAATGAAATTAAGGACAATTTTTATTAAAGGAACAACTGTTAAAACACACTTTCTTGGGTGATGGAGAGGAAGAGACTAGCTTCGGGCATACTTTGTCATTCTCTGAAGGCTATTTGTCAGTGTAATACTGTCTGCCTTCTAGGAGCAGTGAAGATGATCTTTCAAAAAGATTGCAGTCTAATACCTTAAACCAGCACTGGATTTCAAGGAGCAAAAGACTGCAGGCTTTTGTATTAATTTGGTATGTGTTTGTGTAGATATCTGTATAGGTCAGACTTTCCATGCTGATTACAGCATAAGAAGAAATTAGTGCTTTTAAATGTGGTAGTGCTTTTACATGTGACAGTTCTTTAACACCTCAGTAGCATTGTCACTTCCTCCTACACAGTCCTTTCCAGTAGGCAGAAGGTTGATGATCTGTTTTTGCAGTCCTCCCTGAAAGTGAGATTGTTCAAAACCAACTGGATACAAATTTCACACCATGAGAAGACAGAGGACCTCTAATGATACATAGTTATACAGCAGTGGTGTTCTTTGGAGTGGTGGAACTGTATGAAGGACCTACCTGTTGCAGGTTATTGCATGAAAGTTCTGTGGTGTCTCATACCACTTTGGTCAGTTTTGCCAGGCAGCTGACATTGCCTATGTAATCATTCTGAGGACTAACAAAAGTTACATTGTGCATCTAAACTGGAAGTCCATTACGTGACTTCCTGTGAAGGACTTGCAGTAGAATTGGCTGGCTTCTTCATTTTGTTTCTTAGCACAGCATAGGTCCAGAGAATGTTAGTTGAATCTGCAGTTTATTTCCTGTTACAAGAGGTAAGAGCTGTGACTACAGTGAGAAAAGGACAAAGTAAAACAGGTTAGGCAAAGTTATTAAGAATTAAAATTGGCTGATGTTCTAGTGGGAGATATTTGGGTCTTTACCAGGGACTTCAGTATTTTCTGGACTTGTAGGAGGATTTAAAGATATACAGACTGGGGGGAAAAATATCATATGCCACTGTTATATTTGACTCAGATAATTGTGGAGAAATTTTAACCAAAACACATCAGTCAGTGGAAGATGTTCCTGACATTGTAATTCTCTAACTATTCAATAACATTTATTCATGCAAGTTCTACTCACCTGAAACATCTTGCAGTGAATTTAGGTAACAGAGCTGAGATTTTAAAGAAATGAGTTAATTTGACATTTAAAGTGCTGTTTCTGTTATGATTAAAGTTTGTGGTGATAACACTGACACTAGTGATTTCATGGGTATTTTTTGAGTAATGCTGTTAACACATGTTGACTGAATACTTGAATAATGAATAATTACTTGAAAGTACTTGAATAATATTTGAATTGAGATAGTGTACACGCATTTGTAGCTTATCCCACATATTGGTAACTTGGGCTTTGGAAGGAAAAATCTTTTTGCCAAGAAATGAGGAATATTGTCAGTTTCCCTGTATAATCTTGGAAAACTGCATTCAATCTGTTATAACGCTGTTAACCTATTCATGCTTAATATGAACTTGTGTAAAATACTAGTTTTACATCTGGTATTCCAGGTAGATTCCAAGACTTGTCTTAGGTTTCACTAAACCTTCTGACCTGCTGCTCCCTAATCATTAGGTTTATCCAAGAACATCCTTGGTACTGCTGTTTTTTTTATGTGACCCCCGCATCTGCAAATTTGCACACTGTATAAATAGCCACAGTCATGCAGAAGTGGAGATATTCTTTGCTCTCTTCCCCTAGGCAAATCAGACACTGAGGTTCTCAACATGATTTTTATTTGCCCATAGTAAGAATTCATTATGAAATCCTGCCAGCAGGATTTCAATTTCAGCATGGCAAAGTGTTGAAAACCAAGGAATTGTCTTCCAGTGACACCTGCTTTCCCCTTCACACTTTAATTTCTGGAAAAGTAAAAATAAAAAAACACTATATTCTTCCCTTCCCGTTTTTGACCTTCGATGTTCTGTGTAAAAGAGTAATCAAGAGTAGGCTCAGCAGTAAACAAAACAGTAGGGCTCTTCTGGTGGGATGTGCTTAGCAGTTGCTTACCATAGGAGCTTCTGAGGAAAGCCTCTTTATCTGCAATAATTCATTTAGTTTTCTGGTCCTTATAATGCAGCTCTTAAGTAAAATGGCATGTATTTCATAAGATCTTTTTTGATCTGAGACTTAAAGCATCTGGCTTAGTTCTTATAGCTTTATTCTTTCAGCTGTATGTAGACAGTGTTATTCTTGGGCTGAACATGTTATCCTCTGCACGAGTTTTATAGAGGGTCTCTACAGACATCTAATCATATTCATATCCGTTTTTCTTGAATTTTACTGGATTATTCACTTCATTGAACTACGGCAATTTTAAGTCTCATGAATTTATTTTACAGGACATAAAAATCTAGCCCTTTTAATATCTCTAATATATGTTGTAACTTTGTTTCACTGAATTGGTATAGCACTCTAGCTGGCTGCCACTTACACAGTGGGGCTCAGTAGGTTTTCCAGTGTTTTGTATGTTGTGTGCATAGCTATTTGGTATCAGTGTGAAACTTAATGAGTTTGAAGCAGACAAATACTTTCAAAATGGTTTTGTTTTTTTCTCCCTTTGACATGCTGAGATTTTCCTTTTTTTGATATTTTTTGTTCATAAACTACCTGTTTTTCGTACGTCTTCATAGGTAATCTGTTTTAATGAAATGTATTGTAGAATAATGCATGAGTTCTGTACTGAATTCCGTATGCTGTACCAACATCTGTTTTCATTGTTTATGCATTTATATATAGGATAGAAGCAGCAGCTGTGCACTTAAATAGGGGGTAGGCAAGGAAAACAACTGAGATGGTTGGATAAGTATGTAGGGAGTGGGTGGTTAGGACAGGAAGGGTAAGAAGACAGCAGAGTAGGTCATGGCTCACTTGCCTTGACCCATCAGCTGTTGGCTTGTCCTTCCAAACTCAAGCAGAGTTATCAACAGGGTTAGGTAAAAATGGCTAATTAGTCTGTAACACCATCAGAGTGAAATTGTTCTCTGTAGCATCCTTTAAAACCTACCTGTGATAGCCTGAAACATGAAGTGATTTTACAGTGTAATTGTAAAATTAAAATTAGTGTTACTGATAGAACATCTCAGTAAGGAAGTTCGTATCAAATTTCTCTTCTGTAGTATTCATTGCTTTCCTTTTATTCCTTGTGTGTCACAAGAGGTAGATCTTAAAAGAAGATCTTAGAACTTAGAAATTAAATCTACCAGGTATTCATGGGTACTCATGCTCGCTCTTCATCTTTAATAAACAAAGATGTTTAATCTTTCCTGTAAATCAGCTTCTCAGCCTTACCACTCATGTTACTCCTCACAGCAGCTCAAGCAGAATTGGAAGAAGCCAGCAAAGAGATTTCATTCTCTTTGCATACTTTGCACTTTTAATGCACAACAAGTACATTGTTTGAAATAATTAACAGCTTGTTTTGATAACACTTTGCGATGTTTGTGTTGCTAACAACTTTTACCTTCTATAGGTGTTTTGGTGTATTTGTCACTAATCTCCAGATTTTTCAACAAGTGCAAAGAATAAAGCACTAAAAGAGGAGCAGAGCAAGTCTTTGAGCTAACTAGTGTTTTTGGCTTGGACAGACCAAAATCTGTAGTGAGCAGGGGATGCTTACCTGGTTGAGGAAGAGGTATGTAAAGTGAATCATCATTGTAATAAAACACATGTCTATCTGCAGATCTTACTTTCAGAAATGTTGAATTCCCCTTCATCAATTTCAGAAGTCATGTGCATATTAGCAAAGCTTGCATACCACTAAGAAAATATAAAATACTCAAAAGTCAATGCTCTGTAGTGCAGAGTGCTGCTACAGCATTAGTTGTATCACAGTATAATTTGGTTTGGAAATAACTTTTTTTTTTAACATATGTCAAAAGAGTTAATGGAACTGAGGCTGTGTTTTTGCCTGGTACTGAAGCCTTATGTGTACCATATACAGAAATTTAATGAGAAAGTACTTTCTAGAGAACCGCTTCATAGCTACAAGAATTGTGTATAGAGGTATGCCAATTTCAGTTAGTATCTAGGCCATATCAAATTGACACAGTGCCTTTGGGAGTTTTTTCCCATGTAGTATGCAGTTTTTTCGAAGCTGTACATTGCTGACTCTGAAAGATGCAGTTTTCAACTGTCTTCAATCATATAAGCAGAAGGACTTGGGCATGACCTTTGAGAGTGATTGCCTTTCTCTTGACATCTTACAAGTGGGACTGTTGAAGATAGATTTCCTTCAATAAAAAAAAAAAAACCAGATGACGGGATTCTCAGCTTCAGAATTCTGTGCTCGCCTCCCTTGGCATAAAAACTGTGACCTTTCAGACACTTCTAAAAAGCGGAGGATGTTTTTGTTTATTCAGATAGCAAATCCTAAGCTCGCACATTTATTCCACAGCAGGAGTATGTGTGGAAGTGATTTTTTAAGTGCTATTTCAAATCATTCTTATGAATGCAATGTTAAAGTTCTCGGTTCTGGTTCTTGGCTTCACTACAGCTTCCAGCTACAATTATAAAGAGATTCCTTGCTGGCTGAACTATGCTGAACTATGATCAATGCAAGTGGTAGCTGTGAAGTTGTAGCACTGAATCTCTGGCAAATCTTTGTGCAAATTATGCAGAGTGCAGAGTGATGGAAGTGAAATCTGTATACTGAACAGCCTGTTGCTGTGTTTGGCAAGTCTTGCCTCCAGGGGAGCGCTTGAGATCTTGGGTATTCATGTGTTGATTTTTTGATGCAGAGAAGGCATCCTTTGCAGACTTAAACCTGAGTAGTTCAAGTATGTTCAAAGTTACAAACAACTGAAAAAATCTTACAGTGAAGGGAAAGGAAGATCTTAAATATGGTCTTTTAAGTATGCTCCTTGCATGCAAACAAACTGGAAGCAACAATCAGGGATGCTGTTACCTTGGAAGCTGGCAGAGCTTTACCGGAAGCTCTGGTTTTGGCTACATAAATGTACATTACTGAGACCTTTCTTTTACAAGGTACTCTCACAAATGCTTATAAGAAATGCTGATTACAAGATGAGATGTAAAGGGTTCTTGCAGACTTCAGTGGTGTATAGGCATGGTTTGAATCTGAGGTTTGTTTAGTTATTTAAATAAAAACAACGAACAGAAATAACTTACTCCATAAATATCCAAGGAGGTCAGGTAATCTGCTTAATATATTTGCTGAGTTTGAAACTTACCAACTGTTAGCAGTACAATAATGCCTAAATACTACATCAAATTTTCTTGTAAGACACTGAGCATCTGTAGGAAAAACTTGACTTCAGTAGCATGTGGTGAAAATGAGTAGGAGTTTATCTGGCTGTCTAAATGTGGAAAAACATGCTGGCCAGCTCATTTTTCTTGATTTAGCCTTAGTATTAAAAGAAATTTGTTTTGCATTATGAAGTTTGCTGATTAAAAAAAAGCCTGGATGGCATGATGTTAAATAAAGCTGAGTACTAAAGCATGTGTGTGAAGAGGCCACTCAGTTTGTGCTGATCTGTTGTGTGAGGAGGAAGAAAAATATTTGCTTTTCAATTCCTCTTCCTTACCTGCATGACCCAAACCTGTATGACAATAGCCTCTCACTTAAGTGGTAGAGTTTTTAGAAGGACAGTTCTGTCATTAGTTATCAGATTTCCTATCTCCTTTATGTTTTAAAACTGGTTGTTGTCTGGAAGCTTAATTTCATAGGTGAAGTGATCAACTCTACAGAGATTGGGGGTGGGAAGGGAATCAGCTAATATAGCATTTGCTCTGACAATTTATGGGGAGGGAAAAAATGTGTGCTTTCATTGTACATTTGAGTAGTTGGTTGCTAATTCAGCTTGAAAGGGGACAAATATGACCAAATTCGTAACCTGACTAGAAATTTATATGACTACTGGAAGACTTACTTTAGAGAAAGAACTATTGATGCCTGTAAAATAAAATTTGTAAAAGATTCAAGGAAGAAAAGCTTGATTTTTCTTGCCTTTAAAGTAGGAATACCAGGTGCTTTTTCTGTTTTCATCAGTAATAATTTTCTCCAAGTTGGGAATAAAAATCCAGGCAAGCAAAAATGGCTTGTATGGAGCTAAGCTTGATTTCATTTATGCCACTTATTCTGAGATACCTATAGAAACCAGAAGCTAATCTAGATATATCAGAATACAAAATAAAAATCAGACTTGCGTTCTTGTCCAGTTACAGGCTGCTCATGTAGCTTTTTTCAGGCTTCTATGTGCAGTAGTTCTGTGCATTGGTACACTCACATTGGTGTATGAGTTTATGTTGTCCCATGTCTGTAGCAAGAGCTACATTTTTCTTAATTTGGATAAAAAAAAATCACAAAAGTTTTTGATTGTTTTGCTAGAAAATTACATCCTTGAGTAGCAGGCTTTTTAATGTAAATTTGTTTCACTTACCCTGTTCTTTAAAAATAACCTGAAATAATTCTGCATACAAGTTGGCTGCCCATGAAGTTTATTGCTTTTTTAATGAAAGGTGTTTTATCTTCACCAGAAATACATGCACACCCTGCCCCCCACCCCCCCCCCAAAAAAAAACCACACCAAACAACACTGCTTCATTAGTCATCTTTGTGTGCCTCTTCTTTGATCTTTGTATCAATGGTGTGATATTGGTCCTTTCTGATAATATCCAGAGATATGCTTGTGATTTAAATGGTATTTTCAAAATAGTACATGGCATCAAGGTTGCTGTAGTCTGAGACTTGCCCTGCCCCTACTCTGAACAAGGTACTAAATTACAATTTTTGTCCAACAGGAAAAATTTATGCTATAGGAGGAGGCCTCCACACAAATGAAGATGACAAATTCTTTCAAGCATCCTATATATATGCTTCTTCATTTTATGTAGTGTTTTATAGTTTATCTGGAAGCTGAAGAAGTAAAAAGCAAAAAAAAAAAGTGAACTTTACAAGATGTCTGTAAAACAGAGGATTTGAAGATTCAGAGACCTCCATGTGTTTTGTTTAAAAATCTATCTGTAGCCCCTATGTTCCTTAAGTTTCAATGTGGGGAAAAAATGTGGGAATAGTATTTATCCTACGCCTCAATTCTCAGTAGCCACAGATAGCCCCATTGCTCTATAAGCTTTTTCCCCCAAGTGATAAAGGCTTATGTTAATTGCCACTCAGTAGAAAAAAATATTGAAGTATCACCTTAAAATATCACCATTCTAGTAATTTTTCTCTTTGTTCTTTGGAGTTTATCCCAAAGAAAGAGTAAGCTGAACCTCATACTCTAGTATTCACTTAAATGAGAAGGTGAGCAAAAAGCCCAGAAAACTTGTTTTTGTCTGGTGTAGCGTTTGCATTTATCTGGAAAGTCCACTTAGGTCTGGAAACAGATGCTGAAGCTTTTCAAGTCATGACAGCTGACTTTCATGTGAGCTGGAGTTAATTCAATATACCATAACTTTTGTGATCTTTAATTGTTCTGGTACTTAAATGTTCTTCAGTGGGATAAATTTTCCCTCCTCATTGCTCCTCTTTATTCCCCTCATTGCTCCCCTTCATTCCCCTTATTGTTCCCCCCACCTACAAAATTGGTAGTGTTTAGAAAACTGCATGTACCATGTGTTACCTAGGTTAGTTTTGAAACCTGCTCGCTCTGCTGTAGGATGGGATGGGAGTCTAAGGAAATATTCTGTATAATACAGTGGAGAAAAATAGATTTTGTTGTGACCTTTAGGTTGAGCTTTTCTGTTCTGAACCATATTATTTTGTTAAATACAAGGGAACTGGAGCCAGCCTGTGACCTTTTGTTATCATGCAGTTTTGAGAAATGGCAAAAGTCATTCTGATGCTCAGAAGCTCTATTATAGAGAGATTTGTTCTTTAAAGGAGGGAAAAAAAAAAAAAAACAACCTTGAAAATCAGAATTGTAAACCTATACCAGAACAATACAAGTTTTCAATGTTAGCATCAATTAAAGCCTTTTCTACAGAGACAGTAATGTCTGAAGCTAGCTGCAACCCACTTTGTCCTCAGCCACTTTTGATCCCAGAGATGCTCAATACCGGCTATAGATTTTTCACCTCATAAATCCTTTCAAGTGAAGTAGTAGCAGAGAACTGATGAAATGGTATATCCTTACTGTTCTGTGAATTTGCATTTGTGACTCTGTAACTTTGCTATCATAGATGGTTTGCTTTTAACTGGTGTCCCGTTGGTAGCTTGCTAATGGGGAGAGAGTGATTGTGCAGAAGTAGGCTTTATTTTAATTATTGATGTTGCAATGTAGTACTCTTCCTTAATCCCTCTTCCCACTCTGTGCTGAGGTTCATTGGATCCTGATGCTGAAGGATTTCTTTCTCTGGTCTTTGCAGTGCAGGGTTGCCACTGAATGATGCTGACAACCTTCCTTGGCATGCCAGACCCTACAAATTCAGCACCTGCTCAAGATTGCTCTTCCTCAGGAATGAAGTATTTGGGAGTTTGCCTGCAATTCTGTAGTGCTTTGCAAAGCTCTTCACAGTCGCTGTGTTGGGATAGATTCAGGCCACTAGAAAATACTTGGTCTTGAAGCTACCTGTGACTCTGGATAAAATCAAAAATATTCCTTTTGTTTCATCCAGCAGGCTGTTAAACCAAGCTCCTTCCAGGTTGTCTCCCATGTTTCTCCAAAGCTGAGGTACCACCCCCCTAAACAAGCTTGGTCCTTAGGTGTGTCTTTCTAAAATTAATGCTGAAGATTCTTCAGATAAGTATTCCCATCCTCAACTTTACCAGAGAAGATTGCATCCTTTGTGCTTCTGACATTCTTCAGTTATCGTGGATCTAGTTAAGAGAGTCTCTCTTCAAGCCCGTTTCTTTGTCGTGCATCATAATGAAGTGATAAGTGACACTTTGGGAATGCTTGGGCACATGCAACACAAATAATACTGGATTTCTAAAGCTGTATCCTGAAAATGCCCGAGTGATTATGGAGCTGGGCAGCCTCATAGCAGCTGTATGAGGGGAATGAGAGCAGTATGGTGGTGCTGAGCTGCCCATTGGTGTCAAACCACCATGACTGTGAAGCACTGCTCCTTATTAGTTTTTATTTAGACAACTGACTGGTAGCAATGTGTTGCTCTTAGACTGATACAGGTCCAGCCAGGCCTCAATGTGTCAGAGCTTTTGGTTCATCAGTTAGCAGAGCTGCTTCAGTCTGTATGCATTTACCAGTTCATTCAGATGAAACACTATTTTATGACAGCATGAGGTACTTGCCTACTGATCTCCTTGAATACAGCTGATCTCCAATATGGAGAGGAGGTCTAATTTCTCTTATGTGCCATTGTCAACTCTGAACGTGACACTAAAAAGTGGTATGAAATCTCTAGTCCTGAAATGTGGAAGAACAGAAATCTATTTTCACTCATCGTTTTCTGTTTGCTTGCTTATCTTTGCCGTGTTGGGGGGGGAGTGGGAGGAGCATCTTTACATTGTCACTTGCATTGAACTGTAAGATGTAACATAGAAAGGCTTAAGTGACACTCTGAATGGTGAAGGTCTCTTGGACTAAATGGTCTCTTGTCTAGAATTAACAATTTTGGTGCTTTTTTTTGGTGAGACCACTGGAGGTACAACTTAATCCTATTGCAATACATGGAGACATTAAAAAAAAAAAATCTGGTGACAGAAGAATGCTTGGTATGATAATACTATAGCAATTTGTTTTTTATAGCTGAATTATAAATCCAAGAACTGCAGCTCATAATTCACGTAATTAATAAGGTATAGTTTGGTTTTTGTTTTAATTTTGCTTAGCATCTAATAGCAAATCTGGATTGTCTATTTAATTGCTGTGAAACCAGTGAGGCAAATGCAAGTCCTTTATTCACTGAAGGGTAGTTAAAGTACTGAGAAAATGTAGACAATAGAAGTTCCACTGCACTTCAGAACAGGTCTTGTTTTTGGAATGTTTTTAGGAGCAATGTATCATACCTTAGATTTTTAGTCCTGTTTGAGAAACTTGGATAACTTCTTTCACTCACGAGGATTAGGTGGATGTGACCAGAACACTAAAAATATTGGGTAAACATTAGGTGATTGCTTCTTAGTTTTGCAGAATCATTGAATGGCTTAGGTTGGAAGGGACCTTAATGATGATCCAGTTCCAACCCCCCTGCCATGGGCAAGGACACCTCCCTCTAGACCAGATTGCTTAAAGCCCCATACAACCTGGCCTTGAACACCTCCAGGGATTCACATTCACAGATTCTCAAGTTTTTGCTGGTCAATCTATTTCTCTGTAAATCTAACTTGTCTCTAGTTTGGATATGCAGTCTCTGTATAGGCTGCTGCATTTATCCGAGTGTCTACTGATGGTAGTGAAATCTATAACATGAAAAGATAAATAAAAGGTGAGAAATCCACCTGTTTGCTTATCTGAATTGCTTGCTTGATTCAGGTGGTAGATTTGGAAGTCGTGGACATGTTTCACATACTTTTCCTTGAAGGGTCAATCATGTTACAGCTTCTCTATCTAGCATTGTGATTTAGGGACACACCTATATTTTTAGATGGGAGAAGATTATTAGTTTTTTATTATATTATTAGCATAATAGTTACTCTACTCAAGAATATTATTTTTTTTTTGTATTTTTATTTCTAGAGCCAATAACTACTGGGACTGAAAGGGTTTGACCATTTTATCAGAGCAGGCAGTTAATCAGTCATGGACTACAGGGGCTTCTTTTGCTCTTTGTTTGCACCTGTGCCATTTCTTGTTGTTTGGGTTGTTTCAGCACATTACATCATCCTGTCCAGAGCTCATGCAGAAATGTTAGCAATTCATCTTAGCATTTTCCTGATGTCAGCTGAGGTTGCGAATGAAACTAACATCATTTTTCAAAATGCCACTTCAGGTGGCAAAGAACTGTATCCTGTAGTCCTTATTCAGACAAAAAAAACACATTTGTTTGCCAATTTAATGATACAGAATCAGACTCAACTGTCCATAAAATTATGTTTCCAGAGACTACAACTAATTTTAGTTTACTATTTTCTGCCAATATTAAAAACAAATTGCATTGCCTTGTAGATCTTTTTTGTATGCTTATAAGTATCTAAATGGTAATATGAGATGTGAAATTGTTGAGGTGCAGATTTTAATTACACAATTGACTTCAGGAATAACAATTCTGATTTATATTTGTGGTAATGAATCCAGACTTGTCTACTTTTTTCTGTTTATTCAGGTTTGTATGGGATTTTTCAACCTGCAGTCTAACATAATCAGAACTCTGACTACATTGATCAGATTCAACCAAATTTGACAGCAGGGTGAGGAGCTAGAAGATGATTGCCTTCAAAATTCACGAAAGAAGGTAGCTAAGTAGAGAAAACATTTTATGTCCAAGCAAACCGATAGTTTGCAGTGCAAATTCAAACCTGTTTAACAATCTCCTTTTGAGAATTGTGATGACCTAAGATTGTTAGATACTGTGCTGTGTTAGAAGCCAGATAATATAATGTCCCATTAAGCATGCTTTTCTCTTTATGTTCTCCAATGTCTAATAAGGAGTGAACTTAAGCCTTCTTGAGATCTCCATAATTTTAAAAAGTTTGTGCTCAAAACTCTTCTGCTTCAAGTGGTGTCAGTTGATCTAATAAGGTATTACTTCTCTATACAAACTTTGTCTTGTCTTGTAATGCAGGTAAAAACATCAATTAGCTATGAGACATTTACAGAAGAAACAGGTGTCATTTGTTTCTGTTCAAATTTTTTTGTTTTATGGTCAAGACTGGCTTCCTTAGGGAGAAGAATGACTGCTTCTCTTTAAAACAAAAACAACAATGAAAAACATATCTTAGAAGAGCTATAACTGTTAGTAGCTATTAAAACTGGTATGACAAAAAGTCATACTTGTCATTAGGTACTGCAGCTTATAGCTTCCTTTATAATGAAATAAGGTATGAGAATGTAGGAAATACCCCCATGTTGATAGATAAAACCCATGTCTCTTCTGAGTTTGTTTTCCACTCGCAAGCATTAATTTAATCTTTCCTCATAGGTTGGAAAAAATGATCACCATCATTTTGTATATTAGTGTAATGGAGAGTGCAAAAAAAAAAAAGCAAATTCTAGCAGGTTGTATTTACAATATCACTTTTGTTTGGAGAAAGTGATTTTGGAAGTGATTCTCCTGGCTATTCTCACAGTTGTGGGTTAGGTTTGCACAATGGTTTTGGGGTGCACAAACCAGACAGCTTCCAGGATGGTCCCTTCTGAAAGGAGTCTTCTGAATATCTCATGGAAATCAGACTCGTGTATGACTGAATGCCTTGTTGAAATTAATTGGAACAGCCAGATCTGTAAATGTACTTGGTTGTCAAGAGACCATCACAGAGGTACTATTGCTTAGATGCTATCTTGCTCTGCTGGGTCTTGTTTCTACAGTCAGTCATGTCTGAAGGGCTGATTAAACTCCTCAGGCCTCAAAGCTATGCACCACTATAGTTGAGGCTGAAGCCTGGTCTTTCATGAAGTTGGATTATTGAACTCAGTGTATTTTGGCTGAATGCCCAACCATAGAGGAGTGTAAAGATTGTAACATTCACATTTGATGTGTGAAACTGTCATTTAATTGAGGGCCAAAAACAGCTATGTAGTATGCGAAACTGACTTCCACTGTGTTTCCTACATTCCAGGTGGACCTTAAACCCATGCAAGCCATAGGGATGTGTTTGCTTATTCTTTATTAACTTTGCTTTGTTTTAAAAATATTTAGGACACAGTATTGAGTCGGTTTTTATGGCTTAGGCAGTTGCTGGCTATGAAATTAGTCTAGCAGAATCTATATACAGTGACTGAAGGGACTAGGGGTCATGCTTTTTTGCTTACAATTCTGTAGTATCTTTGATCTTTGTGTAGTTTTTGGGACAAGCTGATGACTCATAATATTCACAGGGTATTATAATTTTCCCCTAACCTAATAGTTACAACTGAACTGAAGAGTTACAACTGAGAAACTGAAAGTGTTGTCTACTGACTCTGTAGAGTGGAATCTGTATTAATAGGTGGTTTCAACTGGCAAGTGGTGAACAGTGGGAAAACTCCTTATGACCAAAATTATCCACATATATCCAGTCTGTTGTACTGAATATAATTTTGAGAACATAATTGCTGGGCACAGTAATGCTGAATCTATGCCTAAGGTGCAAAAAGGAGGTGTTCTTACGAAGGCTTTGTGACATGTCTCTGAGAGAAGCCTTGTATCTAGGGGCAGTTTGGAAGCGCACCATTTTTTCCACTGAAAAAAATATCTATTGAAGCAGAGCAAATTTTGTTTTTGCGTTTTGGTAAAAGAACCAAAAGTCTTAATGCTTCAGGGCAGTCTAATCAATGTAGCTGTTCAGCTTGAATAAATTAGCATGAAGCAATGTCAGTCTCCTGCCCAAGACTGCATGTCTGATAACAGTTAATTGCTTAGACTGTAAGAGCCTGTAACATCAGGAAGTGTAACATTCAAGGAAGTGTATTTGGTCCAACAGTTGTAATACTGAAAAACTCAAGATCAGGACTCTGGTTCAAAAAACTCTTAAGTTACAGCTCAAAAAAAAAGGGGGGTTCTCAAAGTTTACAGTAGTGACTTAGTAAACTATGACATTACAGAAATGGTTCGTGTTGTCCTAGTATTTGAAGGTTGGAGTGGATTGCAAGAGACTTTTTCTGAGCTTTTCTAAGTAGGCAGAACTTCTTGGCTCACTTAAATGTCCAAAGGGTTCAGTGTTCTAAAAGTCCCATAGATGCCCTATGGGACATCCATAGATCTATTCCATAGATGTCCTCTTCCACTTTATGGAAAGAGGGCAGTTAGCTGTCCTTTAAATTCTACTGTCACGTATGCTATCATTTCTTTCTGTAGTGTATTTGAGGAAAGCGCTCATTTGAGGATTGTAAGTGACTGACTACAGCTTTGTATTGGTGGCATTATGTAATTGACATCTAGGATAATTTTATATCTGTTGCTGACCTTTTCCAAAGGTATTTAAAGTGTATGACTACTGGAGTAATTCCTTGATTAATGTCATGCAGATATTTAAATTGATGAATCAGGGCCTAAGGGAGATGTTTAGAAACTGATCAGCAGGTGCGTGTAAGCCTAAGTAAGTTCAGTTCAGAAGTTCAGTTTAGATTACTACTTGAAAAATAGAGGATTAGTTAAAAGAAGACACAGCTCCATGTAGAGTGCTGTTTTGCTTTGCTTGTCTGCTTCTATCCATTGTTGCCATTCTAATTCTTCAATGCTTCAGATCCTTTCAGTTCCTCAAAATAGAGACTTTGCTCCACTGACCTGAACTGTATTTAGTAGAATTTGATGCTCTATGCCAATTAAGTAGTAACAATTTATTTAAAGAAAAAAGGACACAATTGTTCATTCACACTGGCCACAGGACTGTGACTCACATATGTTGTTTCTGTAACTAGAGTTACATGTATTGCAGAATTAGATGGTCATGTCTATTGCATCTGGCAATAGTAATTAAAGTTACAGATAAAGGTTTTACTTTCTGCCTTAAGAATAGAGGCATTTTCTGATTTCCTGCTCATCTTCTCCACAGGATGAACAAATGATCTGTGCTGGCCTTATATGAATCCAAGTGCTGTGGCTCCAAGCTACTACAATTGAAGTTGCTCTTGGCTTTCTGCCAGTTTCAGGTCTTTTGAGGATTTAATTTTGTAGTGAAGAAAAGAATAGAAGACAGGGTAATGATAATCTGTCATGCTTTATGATGGCTGCTGCTTTCAGGTATGCTCAGAAAAGTTTTGGCCATTTGAATTGCAGTAGCTGTTTCCTTTGGTGCCATATAATGATGTGAACTCTTTGCCTGAAGATACTGTCTTGGGTACCTCTCTGACATGAGTTCTTACTCAAGATTCTGATTCTTCTCTTCAAAGGACCTAATAGAAACAAATCCAAGAGGCACTTCTTTGCTGTAGGATCCAACTGTCATGATCTATTGTGCAACTTTCTCAAAAGCATGGAATCTTTTAAAAGGACGGTGAATGTGTTTTAGAGCTGACATGGTTTTGGACAGCTGCAGATATAACTGCCTTCAGGATCTAGTACAAAACTTGCCTCTTCTAATGTTTTTTTTCCAAAGTCATAGTATAAAATAAAGAGAAATTCTAGATGTGCTCCTGTCTTACCTATAAGCAAGGGGATAGCAACATGTCAACAGTACTACTGTGTGGAGGTGCATAGTGAAGAACCTGGCACC